ATCACTTGTAACCTTTATAGTTTGCAACATCGGAGGAAAATAGGGGGTGCTTTGCTCTTTTATATGGATACTTTCACAGGAAGTGTTTAAGAGACTTGGCAGATTTGATTTAACCAAGAGCGGTACATATGAGAAATACGCGACGGACCGTGGCTGCTCATCATTTTGAGGTTCAACCCAGTACATCTTGAATATTAATGTTCATGAACTTTTCCATTTGGAGAACTGTGTTTATGTGAAATGAAATTTCTGAGAACGTTTTCCTAAATGGATTCAATCTGCAGCGAATTAAATCCATTGTGAATCGCCACTTCCACACAGGCACCCTCTCAAAGCCCTTGAAGATTTTTTTGTAGTGCTAGTGTTTTTTCTTTGAAAAAAATGTTGAACGTGAAGGTTAAACCACGAGGTCTTAGAGGTACCTACAAGAAAACCTAGAGAGAGAATGAGTCATTCAAAATAAAATTCAAACCCCACAAAAATGTACTTGTGATGCACTGTTGAAAACTTTGGTGTAGTAATGAACATTACTCGAGTTTTATTCCAACACCAAACCGTTATTTTCAACACCTCGACACGTGTTTCGATCACCAAGTAATTATCTTCAAGAGGAAGTATAACATGAAGATGACTTCTTGGTGATCAAAAAACGTGTCGGGGTGTTGAAAATAATGGTTTGTTGTTGGAATGAAACTCCAGTAATATTCCCACAAAAATATTCAGAAACTTGTCAAACTATTCAAAGAAGTGAAAACATTACAAGTTATTCAGAAGAACATAGCTTGAAGTTTAGAGAGGCAGGAAGGAGCTGGTGCATGAGAAAATGATGGAAATACTGATGACTTTCAGGAGGTGTCGAAAAAATACTATGATAGAGACAGAAAGATGATTTTCATGAAGGAAAACCATTACAGTGGAAGAATTGGCTGTATATCCAGGTGTTTCAAGAGACATAGAGACAAGAGGCAAGAGACATAGAGACAAGAGGCAAGAGACATAGAGACAAGAAATATAAAAAAGTAATTGATATCCAATGAGTTACCCTAATATACAAATATTTTGACATGTATATTCATATGAATAGCTGAACTAGCTGAACAATTTGCGCCTCACAGTCGATTTTCTGAAAAAGGTACCACCTTTCTTTTCGCACTCGAATTCACAATGCCGGAAATTACTTTTCAACAACATATAGTCCAGCAAATTTTGAAACAGCTCAATATCAACAAGGCGTCTGGTTCTGATGAAGTGCCAGTCACCGTACTTGAAAAGTGCGAAAATGAACTCGCACCAGAGTTCTACAAACTTTTCAATCTGTCTTATAAGAAATGAGTTTTTCCTTCTTGTTGGAAGATTGTTCGCTTTCAGCCTATTCTCAAAAAAAAATTCCAAATAACTATAGACCAGTTGCTTTGCTATCAGTGATATCAAAAATTATGGAGAAAACCGTAAACCACTACGTACTTGAATATTTAGAAGGCTTTAACATCTTGAGCGATCATCAATATGGCTTCCAGAAACAATCAACAGGCGACTTTTCATCGTATGTCACCCACATTTGGAATAACGCAATCAAGAAACATGAAGAGTCAAAAGCTGTTTCGCTTGATATCGTTTTATTGTATATCAATGACTTATTGGAAAAATGAAGAACCCAATATATTGTTTTGCTGACGACAGCACACTTGTCTCGTCATTTCATTTGGGTTCCAGGACATCGACTGTGGATGCACATCTTCATCGGCAGCAGGAGGTTGCATATCTTATTGAGCATCTAGAAGTTATTTCGAATTGGAGTGAAAGAAACCCGGTTCAATTTAATACTACAAAAAGCCAGTCCTTTGTTTTCCCCGAAACGACAAGACGGAAACTGCTTTCTGCTTCGATTAGTTTGTTGGGAGTTAAAATGAAAACCAATATGTCTTGGCACAATCATATCGCTGAAATTGTGTAGGCTGCTTCTCAAAAGCTCCGAACAATGTTCCGAACCAGAATACTGTACACACCTCAGCAACTTTTGATGCTTTATAAAGCTCAGACCAGATCTGTTTTGGTATATTGTTCTCATGTATGGAGCTTCGCCCCCCAAACATACCCTGAAGCTGTTTGATTTCATCCAGAAAAGATTGCTGTAAGACGACACGCGGGGGTAGGGGGGCGGTCTAAGCAATGAAGCGCCATCACCAAGAAGGCGACCCGAACGCGACGGTTTATTTGGCGATATTTCTTAATAGGTAGCATAATTCAATTCTAGAAGCTATTCATTACTTAATGCAGTTGGTATTACTTTTTGAGTTAGTGAATTTTTGAATTAAAAATATAAATTACTGTCTGTTGCCCGCGGATTCGCCAGCGTAGAATTCAGTTTGCCACATTGAGTTTAGTAACAGACCATTTTGACTAAATAGTTACAATATTTCTTTATCAACCCAAAACTTCAGGTTTCCAACTTCAAAACTGACGAAATTCAATAAAATCTTTCAACCCCTTGTGAGTGGAAATTTCTGATTTTCTTTTTAATGATCATTCACGCTATACATAGAACTTACCTGCAGATTCCAAGATTCTAGGTTCAGTAGCTTTGGCGTTAATATAACAGTGTCAGTCAATCAATAGGTACCCACTTATACAATACTAGCTGTTTCTCATTGCCACATTGCCTTGGGAACCTTCCCAAGCTCATGATCTATCTATGAACGTGAATACATTCATTACATTCATCTATCCACACAAACTGTACGCATTTATAATATTGGTAGGAGTGGTATTACTAGGATTACAGATTTTTTTCATTCTGATGGTTTCAGTTATTTTTTTTGCTGATGGTCTTCAATATTCTATGAGTGGGTACCTATTGATTGTCTGACACTCTCATATTAACGTACAGCCGGAGCGACTGAACCTACAATCTTGAAATATGCAGGTAGGTTATTTGTATACCTAAAATAAACATCAAGAAATGAAATCAGAAGTTTTCACAACTAAGGGGGAAATATAGGGGTTTGAAGATTGTATTGAATTTCGTCAGTTTTGAAGTTGAAAACTTGAAGTTTTGGGTTAATAAAAAATATTGTAACTATTTGTTTGAAATGGTCTGTCACGAAACTTAATGTAACAAACCGAATTCTATGCGGGCGAAGCAGCTGGCAACAGCTAGTGGTTGTTTATATTTTCTTCAACTTTCTCTTTGAACTTTTTTCAATATGAGGTTTTTTCGGATAAAATCATGAAAAATCATTTTTCGTCTCTAAAATTTACCCATTGTACCTGTGAACTCAAATATTCACAGACGTTGTGTTGTGAATGTAAATACTCATAGAAGTTGTATTTTCATTGTACAGAGCCAATATTCTATATGAAATTGTATTTTTGTAGTGACTGGCAAATGCTCAAACTATAGTTGACAATCAACTGACTTCTTTCTCATCTGAAGGAATTAAATCAACAAAACACATAATTTATTATGAATATTTTTCTTCCGCAACAGTAGGTACCTTGGATCAACTTCAATTCATTTTTCTCGAGATGTGCTTTTCTTGTATTATACCTATGTTTATGCTCTCAAGAATATTTTTCTTTGAATATTTTTTCATTCGTTCAGTATATTGCTAGGATAAGAATTATTGAACCACAGTTGAAAATGTCCACCATAGGTGTAGACGAAATGAAAATCACAGGGTGCAAACTCAGACAAGAGTTTCCATATGATTCGTACTCAATTTGAAGCTGCCTGTATAATTGACCAATTCATCATTATGTAATGCATATACTTCAGCTTTATGTGATGCGGACGTTAACTTAATAAATCACATAACGGTAAAAACAATTTACACCGTGGAATAAATGAAACTTTACGAAGAATAAAACAAAAATACAACTGGAAAGGTATAACAAAAGATGTTGAAAATTTTATTAAAGCCTGTGAGGTATGTCAAAAAACAAAAATCTGCAGGAAAATCCGTTAGTAATCACGGAAACCCCCAAACCACCTTTTGAAAGAATAAATATAGACATTTCAGAAATTTCAACGAAGAATTATCTTCTTACAATTCGAGATGAACTTACAAAATTCACTCAAGCTTACCCTATATCTGATAAAACAGCGAAATCAGTTGTAAATACATTATTACTATATTTAACATTATGGAACACCATTAAGAATCCATGCCGATTCAGGAAAAGAATTCAACAATTATCTATTAAAAGACATATGTTTACTCTATAATATTAAACTAACATTTTCCAGTGTTGACCATCCACAATCAAATGGCTCACTTGAAAGATTCCATGCCACCCTAATGGAAATGATAAGAGTAAATCTAGCAGAAAACCCCAAAGACCACCCATTTTCTATTATACCCTATGCTGTTATATGTTATAACAACAGTTTAAACAAAACCCACGGATTTAGTCCTTATGAATTAATATTTGGACACACATCCGGTAGACCCCCAGAAACTTTATATAATCAAAAAGACCTTATGACGAAGTATGTCAGAGATCTTAATAACCGTATGGAATATTATTACAAAGTAGCACGCACAAATACTGAAAGAAAGAAAAAAAAGCTAAAATAAGATTTTAGCTTTTTTTAAAGAATTTTAATTTAGGTTATTCAATGAATGAATCAATAAGAAAGTAACATTATATTCCCGATGAATTTTACAGAAAGAAAAAACCCTTTGTACCAGTTACTGACACTGAACAAATACACTTGTCCTATTTACTGATATCTAGATGTCCCGATTAAAGACAATAGGAATATAGTTACATTCCAGTCAAGTACAAGTGAGTATTCAATATTTCAGCATCTCAGAAACGTGAAAAACTCCTCTTTTGTTGACAGCTGCGAAGTTAGGTTGTTTATTTATCTCCATTATGTCAGATTTGGAGTACCATATAACGTCATCAGGTACTGGCCATTTCCATCCTGTGGGTCCACTTCTCACCATTGTTTTCACCCTCACTTCATATAACGGTTACGATAACCAATATATTGGTTACGATAACCAATAATATTGGTTATCGTAACATACAACAACAAAGTTATTTTCCTCAATATCATTTTCACAAACTCCATCAATTCTTGCATGATTTATAAGTCCGGAATCATTTTCACTTTCCGAGTTATTGTTTTCCTCCTCATCACTCGGATAACTGACATTTACTGCATTGTCCTCATCTGATCGACTATTTCCTTCTTCTCTTGACTGAGTACTTTCTTCCTCATTGTCTGATTTTTTTCTTCTCGCCTGCTTTTTATTCTTTTTTATGTTTGCTTTTTCTGCAGCGTTTTCTTCTCGTTTTCGTTTTCTTTCCTCTTTTTCTTGAAGTTGCCGTTGCTTTTCCTCTTCTTTTTTCTGATGGTATTGCCTCCATGAATCTGAAGTAGCCGTAGAAGGTAACTTAAGTTTTGGTTTCGTTTTGGAAACGCTCAGCTTTGGAGCAGGCCAGAATAAACTTGATTTGAATGGTGATGGTATATTAACAGGCACACCACCATTTTTGGCCGCTGTAGACTCAATGTCACTGACGGGGTTTGATGAATTGCAAGCTACCTCAGGCTGTATCAACACCTCAGTTGCTTGTTGGTATACATTTGTCATTGAACTGTTTGGTTCGATGTTCTCTTCAGAGTTATCTTCAACTAAACTTGGAGCTGCTAGCCCATTTGGAAAAATACCATCTATTCTATCCTGGGTTATGATGAAATTTCGACTTGTCATATTCAGTTCAGCATTATTCAAGTTTGTATTCTCATTAATATGTGATAGTTCACTTGCAGTAGGTGTAGTTAGTGTAGTCAAACATTCTTTCTCGTCATTATTTATGAAATTATAAACAACCTTTTCTCCCTTTTTGACGATAACTTTGTTTTCTTTTGGGCTTACGAAAAAGGCAGTTTCATTACAGTTATAAACTCTAGAAGGATCGTCAAGAATGTTCATGAGATTGTTTTGTTCAAAATGTTTTCCAATATCCGAATTGTCTTATTTTCTGCTCCGAGATTGATGCTTGACTGAGTGTCAAATTTTGAGATGTTCGTAAACGGATTTCCGGATGTCTACGCAAAAAGGCTTCATACCAGTGCCTGCCTGGTCGTCCATCAGTAAACTTGTTTGCCCGTTTCAATTTTTTGACAAGCATTTCTACACTATCTAACAACTGAGTTTTTGTGTCAGGAAATCCTATATTTCCCACATGGAGAATCCACCGAACCAATAATGTTTCTTCTTCTGTTGAAAGTACTGTATCAGGGCCAATTTTTCTTTCAATGGGGTAAACACCTGTTGATTTGTAGAGGAGCGTCGTTCTTGATACAGAGCATGTTTTACTAGCAGTAAAAACTTCCATGCCATTAGCAACAGCTGTTAAAGCTTTTTGCATTTGCTCTTCCGAATATTGAAGTCGACGATGAGCCATTTTTCTGAAAAAACCCAAGTACCAATTACTGACTGATGCATGTCCTAGATACCGACAGTCACATAAATCGAGTTACATAACGCTAATAGAAATGAAATCGCTATGTCAGTAACTGGTACATAGCTCAACCACAGAAATATTAAATTAGATGACAACAGAAATAGAAAATACGGAAAATCGTAGAAATCAACAGAGACAGCAAACATTCAGATCCATTGTACCAGTTATTGACAGTATTGTCAGTATTCGGTACATGATGCAATAGGTATATGTACATAAAACTGACAATTAAATTTTTCGTAATATTCAATTTATTCTTCATGATCAGTCTGAAAGGAATAATTCTACCTTGAAAATATTAACCATGAACTCACCTGCATCGAATATTTCGCAAAGGAGTACAGACGCTGTTTACGGAACTTGCACAAAAAATATACCTAAGTTGTTGTAAGATTGACTACCACACGAGCTCTCACGTGTAAATGGCGGGAAGCACTCAGAATAGAAGCTGGCTGTCAGTTTCTTAGGCGGTTATTTCAAAATTTCACTTGTGACATTGTAACGGAAACTTGTTTGGGCCTGATGTTTCCAAATTCACAATTTCAATGCAGCCAAATACCTTATTTTTTGCTAATAACTAACAGGAGTGTCAGTATTTGGGACACTATCTGTAATTGGGACAATTATCTTACTGAGAAATCCTGAAACTAACCAAACAACAAAAGTTAATTTCGATAAACTGAAACCCAGTTTTGTTTCAGATCAAGAATGATTCTTCTACTGGCACTTACGATTCAAATAATCAACGCCCAGTATATGTTAGTACCTATGAACAACATGATAGGTATTTATTATTACGAAACAGGCAGCATGAAAATATCAAATGAAAAATGGACTTTATTAGTTGTAAAAGATATGGCACCTGTTACTACCATAATCGAGACATTTTAAGTAATCTCATTCACCTACTTGAAACAAACAATTTAGGAATGAAAACTTTCAGTTCAGAGATAAGCACACATATTAGCCTTTCAAATAAAGTAGCTGATTCAGTACAATTAAAATATGAAGAGACGCAAATAGACGCGATTGATTACAATAAGAGTAATAAGCGATATAAACGAGGACTTTTAAATGGAATAGGTTCCGTATGGAAAGCTATAACCGGCAACCTTGATGCCAGTGACGGCGAATATTTTAATGAATGTATTAACAAGATTTATAAAGACGAACACCAAATTGAAAATTTATTTATTAAAAAACCAAATTTCAGTCACAACCTCTGTAATTAAAGAATTTAACACTACAATACAACAATTACAAGTTGACGAAAAATCATTTAATGAAGATATAATTCAAATTGAAGCATGGATATATACGCTATCCGACAGAGTATCTTTAATAAACGCAAGGTTGAAAGCCATCCAAATTTGTGAACAACTTTGAGAAAGTTATGTATTTCTAGAAGATTATTTAAATGATATGCTGAACGCAATTACTTTTGCCAGACTTCATATCATTCACACATCAATTATAAAGCCAACCGATTTAGTTTCGTCCCTTCAGGAAATTGCTCAAACAATACAAAGGAACAATTTACCTTTACCAACAAGACTTTCTTCAATATCAAAATATCTAGACATAATTGAATTACAAGCTTTTCAAGCAGATTCAAAACTTCTCTTCATTTTAAAAATACCATTAGTAGAACCTGAATTATATACTGTTTATATATTGTACCCCATTCCAATTTTGGACAATCGAACAGGGTTACATCACATTTTACCCACAAATAAGAAATTTATAGCAAAAGATGATGATTCAATGCTGTATGCTGCATTCGAAAATTTAAGTTCATGTAAAAACTTAAACTATAATCTTGATATATGTCAAAATGTAATTTCTTACCCAATCGATAGTAATGCAATGTGTGAAGCTCAAATTTTAAGACCACTTTCAGAACTCCCTAGAATGTGTTCAATTTCACTTTTATTTGCAAAAGACTATAATGTCTATGAAATCCAAAGTAATACTTGGCTAATTGCATTAACAGACCCCTTAGCTGTAACAATAAATTTGCCAAAAACGTAAGGTTGAAACACGAATTATAAAAACTAATTCAATCTTGAAACTCCAAGATAATTGTAATGCTTTCATTGGAAACACAAGTGTGTATTCAAAAATACTTGCAAATGAACAAAATGTAACTTATAAAAGTCATCCAATTTTAATACCATATCAATGTTGCAAAGATGTACCAGAAAAAGAAAGCTTACCACATTTAAAACCTTTGAAATTGAGTAAATTGAATGTAGACAATCTCAATATTGATCAACATAAATTAGATCAATATTCAGATCAGTTGGACCAAATTATAAATGAACCATTCGTAAACCGACATGTTTCATTATTTTCACAATTGTAATAATAATAGTACTTTACATATTTTGTAAATGTAGAAAAAGACGTTCTATGCAAATTGGTATAATGACATCAAGCAATGATGATCAACCACCTGGACCCAGAAGAACTTTTGCATCACTTCCAGCCCCAGGAAGAAGACCCAGTATCCACCTAGAGGAACCCATTGAGGAAGAAATTGAATTAAGCTCAAATAAAATATTTGCTTGACTGAAAGTTGCAGCACCACATCAACTTTCTTTTCAAGGGGGAAGTTGTTATATTAGAAAAATCAATGGACCCTTTGTCTAAGGATTGCACCATAATAAACAAACATTGCATCAGCCACTACGCAGTTACCCAGGAAATGACTCAGCATATTCAGCACATTTCCAAGGTTTTTCTAGAACATTCGTAGAAACGCATATCTACATCAGCAGTTCCTGATCCTATAAATATGGGAGAACAAGAGGACGCCGCATTCTTGAACACTTTATTGTAAATAATTATGTTCAATAAAGTTTGTTTTTAAAAATATAAATTCAGTGTGAACCACATAACAGCTATTACTTAACAACCAAACTCCACAGAATATGTTGTCAACAATTTTTCCCATTTAATTTCCCAGCTTTATAAATAAATAAATGATTGTTACTTGTATTTCCACAAAGTTGGGTGGCGCCAACTTCAGTGTTGATTAATGATATTGCACTCCGGCCAAAAGCTGCCGTTCGCAAAAAATGTGAAACAGATTATTGGTGAAAAAAGTGAAGAGTTCTTTTTGGAATAATTTGCTTTTTTCCTTTCTTCGGAAGATTCCCACATTTTTTTGTAAAAAGATGGAGAAGTAGAAAGCCAAAACCTTACTTTCCCAAAAATTATTCTCTCCTAAAAATCTACTATATAAAAATGGATGTTTGTTGGTTAGTTGGTAAGTGATAAAACTTCCACATCGCTCAACCGATCGTGATGAAACTTGACATGTTTAAGTAATTTTTCATAGAGGTTTTTAGACTATTCATTTTTCTGTAACTCGCCACTAGATGGCGCTATAGAACAATTTTTGAAAGCACTGTTCTATAACGCTGCACACGCCTAAGTTCGTTGATTCTGATTCTGTCAAAACATTGGAACAGCAGCGATACTGCAACATAGTACAAGTATACTATAAATGTATTCCTTTCAATTTAAACCATATTCCTGTCATCGATGACATGAGTAGATTCAACTAATTCGTGATATAATAGGTTTGTTCTAGCAAGAAATTTCGGATGGTTTGAAGCTAGTGTTATGGACTGGCCAACTGCGCATGTATGCCGTGAGACTGGTTGCAAATAGTTTGGGATTCATGTCCTGCTAGAACGCTTATTTGTGTTGACAAATGTCAATTGTCAAATTGTCATTTAAACTGACTTATTAGTTGGAAATTTGAAATTTATATTTTGTGCAGCGAAAAGTGAAGGTGAAAACCGATAAAAATGAACATATTGAATTGGCTTGAATAGTCATCGGCTTGGTCAAAATGGAAAAATTCAAAATAGAAGAAATGTTAAAATTGGAAAAAGAAAAGTTATAAATAAAAAAGAAGAGAAATGAATTATTAGAAACAAGAAATATTGCGCATGTCACAAACTGAAAATCCTTACGAATTCTTCTGGACTACTTCGACAGTTCTCATACGGTTTGCAAACTGGATTTCGTCTTCGCTAGAACATGCGACTATTAGTTCGAATCCTGGATTTGCTTTGCTAGAACGCCTATATTCGTATGCGCATGCTTCGTACGATTCCGTATCGTTTGAAATCGCTGCTAGAACAAACCTAATGTCGTCATTTTATGAATTGATTGTGTGCTTTATCTTTTTGTGTTATCGATGTCCGCCATTGTAGGGGAAAGGTGTACAAGATGACTGCCCTAAGAGAGAAGGCTTGTAATTTGAATAATATTCAATTCAAAATAGATGTAAAAGCAGTTTATGACAGCAAATTCATCGATCTACCGGTTGAAAAAAAAATTTCATCGTTATAAACTATTTTTAAATTTCTGCAGAAGCATAACTTTGGACACCCTGGTATCCAAGATGATCCTCAGGGTGTGGATAAGACGATCCTAGGAATCGTCTTGCACCTCTTTCGGAAATTTTGTTTAAATTAATTGAAAAAAACAACTTTTTAATTTTTCAAATGTGTTTATAGTAGATAGTATTAAACAATTTTAACAAATTATTTAATGAATCTCTTCATAATCAACATAAAACTATACCTGAAATCTGTTAAAAATTAGTTCTTAGGACGAAATCAATTTCAATCAATCAAAAATTTTTCATACTAATATTAAACTCTAAAAATTTTTAGCTAAGTAGGTTTCCTAATAGCACACAACATTCTTGGGACGTCTCATTTAGGTCCATTTCGAGATGTCCGTGGACTATAAATGTACGTCCCGTGGATGTCAAATATTGGAAATTGATAGGAGGTACGCCACGAACGTCCAGTGTACAAATGGGGTCCCTTACAGGACAAAAACTTGGTATAAAATGAGGATCGTCTTCTTTATGAGCGTACGATACATTCGCCAGATAATTGGTACATTAATTTTTCTCTGGTTGGTAGAACGATTTCACTGGCTCCAACACTAGTAAACGCGTAGATGGCGAACGAACAAAAAAAAACACGAACCACGGGAATATTTGGAATTTGGGAGTGTAGGTATCAGTATAATGATAAATTGTGTGTTGAGCCCGCAAAAACAAAAGTCGCTAAATTGTATCAGCAACATTTGTTGAAGCTAAGGGTAGTGAAAATTGATTCTCATTATATATAACGAGTCTAGTTCTGAGGTATCTGATGGCGAAAAGGCAACAGGTAGTGAATATTCTCTCAACAACCAAGTGATGATAGATCATAATGATGGTACCTAATGTTTCTGAGAATGGTTTTCTACTATCAGAATTAGCTGTATACGTAAATGATTTGCATCATCATTTGCAACTAAACAAAATTTTTTACTAGTGATAAAAAATAATTCCGTTGAAAGATTTCCTTCATGAGAATTTTTATTTCAGGTTCATCACAATTGAATAAAAAAACAACAATTATGTATAATTTGAATGTTTACTGTGGATGTTTCTAAAAAATCCTCAAATCAATTTCAGAATACTGGACAGGCACTGGATGTTAACAATGTGCTAATCTAAAAAGTTCAGAATATGTTCCATATTGTGCCCTTTTGATATCCCAAACTTACGTCAAAGTATTCACAGTAAAAATCCAAATTATATTTCAAATATAACCTTTAACGTCCCAAGGACATCCATTCAACGTCAACTGAACTAAAACTGTAGTCCTAATCTAACAGATTTTCATGAAAGACGTGCAGATGATGTCCATGACGGACGTTCAGATGATGTTAGACATAAGGATATTTGTAAGTCCCAAGAATGTCCATAGGACAGGACGTTGAAATGACGTCTATGGCACTAAGTTGTGCTATTAGGGTTAGTTCAGTTAAAATTCTAAACACTTCTTTTCTAGTGTTCTTACACACAAATCGCAAGTAAATCCATCAATATCATCGCTATCTATCTATCCCTGCACAAGCTTGATGACCCCATTTTTGGCATATTTACAACTTTTTATCCATAATTTACCTTAGAATTATATTTGAAAATGATTCCGTACAAATTAGACATTCTGTATCTTCTGCTTAGATGACTCACACTCACTTCTTATTGGGCAGACCTTTACCTTTTGTACCCCTTTTTGGAAATACTTTTTTCAACGTGTTCTTTTTGTTTCTTCGGTTTTTTTCAGACTTTTTATTAGTTTCTTCTTCTGAATGGTCTTTATATAAAGTGCTTATTAGTATGGACGTATTCACTTTTTTCTTCACAATTGACTTATTCTTATTGCAATCTTTGGCAATGGATGAATTCGGGTATAATCAAGAATTGATTGTTTAAAGGCGTACCTCGTAGATGACATTGGTGACAGAGAACTGCGAAAAGAGATGCTCTTCATTTATCGGGTTCGGTGTTGGCGATAGTGTTTTATTCCGTGAATTCAATGTCTTATAATGTCGAGTGATCACATTGCTGCGAATGTTCTGTATCTGAACCATCTGTAGGCCTATCTATTTTGAATTCGTCATTGAATTCAATTTTTGTTATTTCAGCAGCAATGAAATCAGCTTTATAGGAAACATCTGGGTCAATATAAGAATGTAGGCTTTCACGGCTGGCGTCAATGTTTTGGTTGGTTTCCGGGTTTTGCCGTGGTTTTCTTTGATTAAAATCTCCAAACGTTTCAACTGCAACTGCGGCAGTGGCGTGGTTGAAGTACTCTTCTTAACGTATCAACTGAATTTCAGTTGAAACACTCTTCTTGAATATAATTATTAATGTGATAAACAATTATAAATTTTGAGATTTGAAAAGCTACCATTTGCAATGTTTTGGTAGGTTTCCGGGTTTTGCGGTGGTCTTCTTTGGTTACAATCTTCAAACGTTTCAACTGCAACTGCGGCAGTCATCTTCATTGGTGTGATCGAAGTATTCTTCTTGACGTATCAACTGAAACTACCATTTGGAATGTTTGCATTTCTGTTGCCTATTAATTTCCTAACAGTTCTAAAATATAGAAAGCTTACAATTACAGAAAATTTGAAAATATATTTTTTTTCATGTAGGTACCTATGAAATTGAAAGCAATTATACAAATAGATATACAAGCAGAATTACAAATTCACATATCTTTAAACTCTCCTGTTTTATTCAACAACAAAATATCAGGATTTTCTTTTTCAAATTCGCCAGGCTCGCGTTCACGATCCTCTTGACCCCATTCTCCTACCGAACTCATAACATTTGGTTGCCTTGTTCTCTCAAATGCCTCTCTCTGTAAAACACAGAATAATAAATTTCGAAGTGAAAGTAATTCCAAAATGGGATAAATACAAAAAACTATTTATTTTATTTCACACTGAGAATATGTGTTGGGATTCACTATACTTTTTAATTTATGCAGAAAATACTTACCTCTGTATCCATTTTTGCAAATTTGTCAAACATGTTTGCATATATTTTCTTCTCTTCATACAACTGTTTTCTTATTATTTTCTTGCAAAAATCTAGTTTACATTTCACAACAGTATTATCTGGATTTATTTCAAGACATCTCATGAAGTCTTTACTAGCTAGATCCGGTTCTTTGAGATTAAGTAATGCTTGACCTCTTCTATAAAAGGCCTTCTCGTTGTTGGGGTCAATATCAAGTGCAGAAGTTGCTGCATCTCGGGCTTTAGGATAATCTCCAAGTTTCAACTGGCATAAAGAAATATTCAGGTAAGAAGCCAGCAAGAGAGAGTTTCTCTCTGCCTCTGGTGAATCTGAAAACATAATCAAGTAAGAAATGAAGATAAAACAATAGATAGGTATAGGAGTTGAATCTTCCCTTGAAGATGATCACTTGGTGATCGAAACACATGTCGAGATGTTAAAATAATGGTTTGGTGTTGGGATAAAACTTCAGAAATATTCAACATTCATACTAACCAAATACATTTGCCCTCAAAACAACATTATTAATAATTTATATCACCACTGAAAGGTATTTTTTAAATAAGTAGTACAAAACCTTGTAACAGGTTAATTCAACATTTGGCCTCTCACATTTTCTTCACATTTAGTGAACAATTTCATAAATATTTTTGCACTTAAAAATTCGTTGAAGTTGCACTATGCAACATTAGACATTAGCCAAAATGATTTTTGTCGGTTACCTAAATCAAAACTGAATATAATTCATCCACATGATCTGGTGGACCATTCAATAGACGTGGACAACCATTTTTTCTTTGAAAACATTCATATTTCAGAATCTGAAAATAATCTACATAAAACCCACATAAACAACAACTGTACAAAAGTGGATCAACTGAACATGACAATGGAAAACTTCAATGTTTTGAGTCAGTTAGCAAAATAAATAGAGAAAAAGAATCATTAGGTCATACCTAATTTTGATTAACCACCACTAAAGTTGTGAAACTGTTTGGAATAACAAATATAACTTCATGAAGAAATCTTTAAAATACAAAATTGAAGATACAAAATTAGACCCGTTGCCTGTTGGCATCGTCAGCACCGGTCAGGCGGTCCTCGATTCATACACCTTAGGGTGTTTCAGTTTTATGCGATATTTTTTTTTCCAGCCCTACCTGAAAATCTGAAAATTTATAGAAAAAAAAAGAATATTCCTGTTAGAATATTTTTTGAGTCAGAGGCTTAACTCATTCAAAATTTCGATTTCCCATATGAATAATATAGAAACTTTTTTTGTCGCTTTCAACTCGCTAACTATTAGAATATTTTTCAAGTCAATTAGAGGCTTAGCTCATTCAAAAATTCGATTTCCCATATGAATAATACAGAAACTTTTTTTTTCGCTTTCAACTCAATTTTTTGCTATTAAAAATCTTTTTTTGGAAAAAAAGTATACAACTTTTGTAGGAAATTAAATTTGCTACAAAAAGGTTCTCCGAGCAAACACTCACCGATCAACAGTCTTTGAGCAGTGAAGTTGGAAAGGTTAATGTTAATAATCAGTGATCCCAAATTTTCTTTAAATTGGCACTTTTGATCTTACATTGAATATTATTTACAATGAATTCTACAGAATTATTGAATTGTGAATTTTAGAAACGGCATTTCTTATAGTTATATATATTCCATAGTTACTATGAAATTATAATATCGATGAATTGAAATTCAAATTTTCGCGCATATTTCAATTGTCAAACTTCTAGTTTTACTCGAACTGTCTGTGTATTTGGGAAACCGTTCCACGAAAAACACTACTTTTAAAGATCCTGGACCGACACACCATGCACGATGGCTTTCGAAAGCCATTTATTACTTGAAAATTTTCTCAATTTTCTCTTAGCAGAGTAGAAAGCTAAGTTATCCATCATATCTGTATTTTTATAACATTATTGTATGTATGAGCATGGTATTGTGCGCTTTTGTCAATTCAAGCTCCGCGACAAATTTAGAATTTTTCAAATATTTATCAGACTATGAAACCATCAATAAGAAAATTTCAGAAGAACCGTTAAAAAAATTTAGCACTCATCTCTAGTATTTTTCTGAAGAACTTATTTGTTTATCACTTTTCAATGATAATGTAAGGTCAGAAATTAAAATTGAAATTATTGAAGCAATGAAACAAAAAGCTAACGAAGCTACAAATTTGAAACGTGTTAATATCAAAAAAGTCAAGATCGATTTCTTCACGACTGAATTTCTGAAATTAGATGTGGACATTTAAAAACAAATACGCGTCACAAATGATATTGCTGAACGAGAAGTTCAATTGATGGAATCATATAATCAGGGTTTAACTTATGAGGAACAGAAACAAGTTGTAGCAATGCATATAAAGCAATTTCCAAATGCTACAAGCAAACATTATTGTTACCACTAACTCAGAAATGGGGTAAAACAAAATTAATTCTAACGATTTATATGATATTATTAATGTATTTCTGAATAACATATATCCATAGTAGAATACTTTTTAATAACACAATCGCCTTTTATAATTTTTTATTATATTACACTCTCAAAAACATATTTACAAAAGTCATAGAACACCTAACATTAGTTCCGTGATCAATGTCATAGAAAAGAAATACAGTGTTGACAACTTATATTTCTAACACTCTTCCTTAATTTGAAATTTTACAAAATGAAAATTACTTAAGTTATATTGGACTTAATTCTAAGCTTTACAAAAATATCTGTACCTAAAGCTTTGGTTAACATGTCTGCTAAATTTTGGTCAGTTGATACATATTCGATTGTTATAATCTTTTTAGAAATCAAGTCTTTCAAGTAAAAGTATTTAATATCGATGTGTTTAGCCCTTTTTGAGTTTTCATTACTCTTAGACATAAGAATTGAACTCTTATTGTCGCAATAAAGTATTGCATTGTTGTCAACTTTTAAATCATTTAAAATTCCTGTAAGATTTACAAGGTCCTGTGCACAAGTAGCCGCTGCTACAAACTCCGCTTCGGCTGTCGACATTGCGACACAGTTTTGTTTCTTCGAGTACCATGATATGGGATTGTTTCCATAGAATATGATACTACCACTGACGCTCTTTCTATTATTTTTGTCGGTAGCCCAATCAGCATCTGAAAAGGCTTTTAAATTTAAATCATATTCATTAGTTCTATAATAAGTTAGCCCAATGTCTTTAGTTCCTGCTAAACAGCGTAAGACCCTTTTTCCTGCTTTCCAGGTTTCTGCTGTTGATTTATTTAAGAATCGACTTAAAAAAGAATCTGCGAATGTGATGTCGGGTCTTGTCGTAGTAGATAGATACATTAATCCACCAATTAGTTTTCTATATGGGACAAGAATTATTTCACTTTCTGGGTTGTTTTGGAATCCTTTTTCCATTGGTGTTTTCTTTGAAATACAATTTTCCATATTGAATTCGGTTAAAAGTTTTTCTATAAATTTTTCTTGTTTTATTGTTATTTTGTTTTCCAGTCTTGTAATTTCCTTTCCCAAGAACAGTTTTATTTCTCCTAATTTCTTTGCTTGAAAGTTGTCTTCTAATAGCTTTGCTACTTCTTCAATGTCTTCACTGTTTCCTAATACCAAAATGTCGTCAACATATATCAATATCCAAACGTTTTCTTTATCATACAAGCAACAATCATGCTTGGATCGTTTGAAGTTGTTTTCTGCTGCGAATTTATCGAAAGTGTCGTTCCACACTTTAGGGGCTTCACGTAAACCGTATAATGATTTATTTAATCTCAATGTAGGTGATTTGGTTTTTAATCCTTGTGGCGGATGGATATAAACTTCGCTTTCACGTTTTCCATTCAAGAATGCTGTAGGAATATCAAATTGAGTTATTTTCATGTCACGTTGTAGTGCTATGGATAACAAAAGTCTTATAGTGGATGTTCTTGCGACTGGCGAATAAATCGCTTCAAATGAATTCTCCTCCTGTATTTGAAAACCTTTCGCAACTAACCTTGCCTTTTTGGTCCCGTCTGCTTTTGTTCTAAATACCCATTTTACGTCAATACATCTTTTCCCTTCTGGTAGTTTTACTTCAGACCATGTTCCCTGTCTTTCGTGTGATTTCAATTCTTTAACAATAGCCATTTTCCATTCTTCGTCTTCTATTGCGTCCTCAAACTTTACTGGGTCGTTTTTTTGATCTGCTGATAACAAACAATACGCATTATAAACTTCATATTCATTTAAATGTTTAGGTCTCAGTATTTTCCTTCCTTTTCTAGTTTCTAGTGGTCTTTCCTCGTCTTCATTTGAGTCTTCTGGTTCTTCTTCTGAATTTGGTTCTTCAAAGGTTTCATCTCGTTCTTCTTCTTTTGTTTCAGTTTTATTCTTATTTTGTGATTCATTTTCTTCGATTATTATTTCTGTATTTTCCTTTTTAGAATTTTTCAAGATGTTTTCATAATCAATTTCACTTTCTTTAAATCTTACATCTCTTGAAGTGATTATTTTATTTTCCTTATTGTTCCATAGTCGATAGCCTGCTCCACTGTATCCTACCATAATACACGGCTGTGCACGTCTTTCTAGTTTATTTTGTTTAGGCAAAATAACTGCCCATGCTTGGCTTCCAAAAATCCGCAATTTTGATAAATCATTTCTTTTGTACCACCTTGAAGCTGGAGTTTCATGGTTGTTTGCTCCAGTTGGAGATCTATTTATTTCATAAGCAGAGCATTGTACCGCTTCTCCCCATAGTTCTCTTGGTAGATTAGTATCAGCAAATTTTGTTCTTACTTTATCTAAGAGAGTCCTATTCATTCTTTCAGAAGTGCCGTTTTCTTGTGGAGTATGTGGCATCGTATACTCAAGCCGAATACCCTTACTTCTACAAAAATCTTTAAAACTATTTGAAATGAACTCACCACCATTATCTAATCTAACTCGTTTTGTTCTTTCGCCATGCTGTGTTTTAATCGTGTTTTAATCATTACTATAAGGCAACTTTAATATTTTTAAACTATTTCTATTAATATGCCCTAACCTTTTATGCCACAAGTCTCAATTTTCATTTGCTGTGTAAATGAATTTATTTTTCTCAGTGCAATTGTTTTCGAATTCAACATTTAGAAAGAATAAATCATTAATTGTGTTACAGTAGAATGTAGAGTTATTGCTACTTACTAAAATTGCTCGTTTTTCGCCTAATTTGTCTCTATCAAAAGTTACTCTGAAATTTCCTTGAATTAGTCTTGACACAGAAAATAAATTGTGAGACATTCCTTCTACTATTAAAGCTTGAAATGTAATGTATTTACCTTGACAAATTGCTTTAGCTGTGCCTTGTTTTGTTG